GAATATTCCTGGTCAGACATTACATTTTCAGTAATGAATTTTTTTTCTCGAAAATGCGTAGCATTTCGGAGGTACGTGTATTCACAAAAAATGATTGTTATTGACTCTCGTAACCAAAAATAAGTTTTACAATATGATTTTAATTTGTTTAATTTCGTCAAAAAATTGCGGCACCTAACCCGTCGATTTTTCTTAAAAATTTGTTTTTGATTTTTAATAAAGACAACCATGGGTAATGTAGTAACACAATTTATTAATAAAAAATAAGAGGTATAAAATTTCTACGCTTTATTCGTTAATTGTTTAGTATCGACGTCACTGCTGAATGCATGCGGCTGTGGCTTCTTTGTTATGTGAAATATAATCCGTGACATTTAGCGAAGAATAATCGGGTCAAATATACCGGTTATTCGGACATTCCGAATAAAAAGAATTAAGAGTTCGTGATATACATATATTAAGGTTAGGTTTCTACCACGATTTTTTTTAATTGAGGTTAGGTTTCTACCACGATTTTTTTAATTGAGGTTAGGTTTTTGAACAATTGTACAAAAATTTATATGTACGTATGTAATGAAATCGTTGAATAAAAAAATAAAAAAAAAAAAAGATACGAATATTTTTAATTAATCTATGACCCTATGCACGGATTCAAACTTATTGCCTGTAAAGATCTACGACTGTTTTTCATATGATCATTTAGTCATTTACTCATAATTTATAAACTACTTTCTTTTTATTTATAATTAATACTGTACTGTATTATTTTTTGTAACCAATTGCATACAATAAAAACAATTATACGAGAATGTCGCTATCTGTTTTTTTAATTTATCAATAGTATATCTTGGAAAATCAAAATCTCAATGATATTAAATACAACAATGATTGTTAACTCTACAAAGAGTTGGGAAATAATATTTAAAAATCACTATTTCACCTTTAGGGATACAACGATATAAAATGTTTAGATCAAAGAATTTCATTTTTGTTCGAAAGAACAAATATTTCGAGCGATTTAACATTAACAACGACCGTTAAAAATACAGCTTTAAAAATTGCAAATAATATAAAAGTTGCCAATGATATTGAGCATAAAGTTAAATTAATGTTAATATGTAACAATTGTTTAACCAAGAGTAACGAAGTTATTTACAAATAAACATAAATAAGAGCGGCATACTCGATGACTATTCTAATTTTTCTAATTTTCAATATAAATTGTAATAATATGCGAATATTATTTTTACTTATATGTATTTGTTGCTAATAACAATAAATGATTAAATGTGCCCTTCGATTGATTTCTTGTTTCATTAATAACTAAAAATGATGAAAAATAAACAAAAATTACTATATCGTTTTTAACTTATCAATAAACAATTTTTTTATAACAACATATTATTATAATAGAAATTGTAATTTAACTCGCAGCGATTACTAAATTTATGTTTAGTTTTTATTTCTTTCAAATTTTAACTATTTTGCACGATAATATCGTTTGTAGAATCTCTTTCTACCCTTCTTCCATATATTTTCGCAGGAATTAATTTTTCATTAAAAAATGTTCACCAATAGCAACTACGATCCACCCCATTTCACGCACATGAGAAATAAATTATTCGTGTACGAATTGCCAATGTTCTGTCTCTACATTTATTTATCGTTGACTCTTTCATAGAGTTTGGTCGATTTCCGGAAACTTGTCCCACGTAAAATTATAAATGTCTATATTAGTTTCTAAATTACGTAATGTCGTTTCAATTTTGGACTGAACTAAATAAAGTTACTGTAAACTCCATTTATATTCACGGCTACTTTTGTACGCCACTTTTTATTAAATCCGAACAACATACTAAATATGGATTTTAACTGAAAGCTATCGACAGGTTTGCTCAAACACGTTACAATGAAGAATGGAAAACCGAATCTATCGAAAGCAGGTAGAAAGATCAATCTTTATTCTACTGCAAATCTTTGAAAAAATCGATTCTATTGTTATATTTTCATGAAGAATACTATTTAAAGAATATATATTTAAAATCCAATGTCCAAACGCTTCGTTTCTTTCATATATTTTTAAAATGATAAAAAAAACATTTGAAATTCGATAATGAAACTTTAATGTTACCATTTTTGGAATTATTGACTTTTTATTTTTATTTTGGTACCTGCTATAATCAAACTCATTTTAAATAAGGATCTGTTTTCATTTTTCATTTAAAATGTATAGAATGAAAAAAATAGAAAATAGAAAATTAATATTTTACTTTAACAAAATTTCTACATGCTTCACAAATGTCAATAAATATGTGCGAAATATTACGATAAAAAATTATCAAAAAGGACCTTAAAATATGTGTTTTACAGAATACAATTTTTGAGTGGTTATTCAAAATTTTTAATATTATTGTATCAAACACATGTACTCTAATCTATATTTGAAGAATATCATAATTTTGTCCATAGAAAAACATTCAATATTTTAGACGTTACGGTATACATATACTTTCAGGAAATTAAATAAAGAAAAAGTTTTTGTTAATGTTATAGAGTAGAATAGTTCCTTAACTTCTCTGCAGGTGTGCAGTGAAGTAATTAATTATAGGGTCAAAGTAACTGTGCTCCGACATTCTGCTTAAACAAACGATTGCATACAACAATTGTGTCTTATGAGTGATGATACGCGTTGCAGTTAATGCACAAGTCATTATCACGAAATCTATGTATACACGGTGAACCACGTAACTTGATCAGTATCGCCTATTCACATTAACTAGTATCGCAATAACTTCTACAATTGTTTCTATTTTATGCACTTCGTTCCACAGAATATTTTAGCAGAATATTGTTTAGAAATAAAATTAATTTTAGTCGTTGGGCTGTCAAAGTACCTTACAATACTAGTTAAGAGTTCATTTGTCACTAGTAGACCATTAAAAGTTTTTTGTCTAACATAATATTCTCGTCTTAATATTCATTAGATATAAAAAGATTATTTCATTGTAAAAAACTAGAGATGACTTTTGTACAGTGCAGAAAAAAAGCCGTTAATATGTAGTATAACCATTTTTAAATTTTCCCTGAACCGTGCTATACTAGACAAAAAATTTGCTCAACGGTTCATTGGCAATAGAATAAGTTAAGCTGATCAAGTTACGTGATTCACCTGGTATATCTTATCAAAAAACATTCAAACTTACCATAAATCCACCCTTCATTATGTTTCGAGTCTAGACGAACATGAGTATTACACTGCTTGTACCTATTTATTTAATATGTACTCAAATTATCTATTAGATATATTTTAATTACATGGTTAGGAATGTTTGGTGATTAGACCAAGATAGGTTACCCTAGATTTGCGCCGTAGTAGGTTTACAGAAAAAGAAATTATGTTACTAACCAAAGTCTCTTGGAAAATTCAAAAACCATTCTACGCAATTTCTTACGAAACAGGAGAGAAGCTTACAAACGAAAACGGCGCGTGGGTGTTAGAAAACTTTTGTCCACCGGCATGGAGGAACATTTCGCAAACTGAATTCGGTAAATTAGTAGCTTGTCTCTACGTGGATTAACCAATTTTGTTCAAACTATGGGCCACAGAAAATATTTCAAAATATTAAAAATCTGAAATCTTCCGGAGAAATCACTTTTCTTATCACCCCCGTATCTTATTTTTCTCCCAAAGTAAATATTGACAAATTATCTATAAAATGTTGCGTAGTTTTAATTTACGGGATGCATACTAGAGACGGCGTGTAAAATCACTAACAGTGATTTATCAGTGATCACAAAATCACGAACACGCTCGTGATTAAACTCCATTCACGACCGTGATCCGAAAGATGGCGTTTTAGTAGCGGTTCACGTTAACTGTGATCGTTAGTGTTCCGCTAACTGTCCTCAGTGAAAATTCAAAGAATTACAAATGCGCCAAATTTAAATTGTATAGTAATGTAGTCTAAGCAATGATTATTTAAATAAATGATAAGTTTGTTGCCACGAAAAAGAAGTATTGCTCAGGTGTAAAACACTCGCTTTAAAAATAAGAAAAAGTATAAAATCATCAGTAATGAAATTCGTATGTTCATTTATATGAAAACATACATATTATAAAGAAATAAGTTAGAATTAAAAATTGCAAATAGGTTAGTTTTGCGTATAGATCACTTTGTTGAAAAAACAAAGTGAATTTTGAAACAATGAGAACTAAAACTTACACTTACATCTATTTATCACTTTTAACTTTTCCTTTCCTTTCTCCTAATAAGAAAATTATTAGTCTAAGGACATAATTCGTGAAAAGTGAAAAGAACGCTCCTCACCAATCAAAAGCGATCACGAAGAATCACGAATCACTGTGAAAAATCACCATGATTGGGAATGAACGTGATCGAATTACGAGTGATTGAAAAGTAGCAGTTCACGCCATCTCTAATGCATACTAATAATGTTTTTGAGCATCATGATTCACCCGGTAATCTGTCATAAGTTTGCTTACAAGCTGACCTCGCGAAGGCTGACTAAAACGTCTGACCCAGTACGTACTACTCGCGTTTCCTTTCAGTACTGACCTTTCTTTCTTTCTACAATACAGAACCGATGCTGTATATTCGAAGGCCCTCTTCAGAATTTCAGTGTATTAAATACGAACGAACGAACGACATAACGTTCGAATACACTAAAAGGTTTATATTAGCAAATATTTACTATTACGAATCTATACGTAGAAACATACGTACATATTCTTGTAGTCTTGTACTCGAAAAGTTGAGCTTTATTATTTGCACTGTACGAAAACTCGTAAAATGCTTGAATTTTAGTTTATCTCGACGTTCGATTTATTATAGAGATTTCCACTTTGCGTTCCACCATTTTTCCAACAATTCCAATAACGATCCAGAGAAGGTCGAAACTGTAAATCCCGAACCAATCGTTCACTGTTTCTCGCCCGACACGATAAATTCCGTTTCTAACCTAGAAAAATCACAACCAACCTCCACAGGCCAATCTCCATGGCGAGCAATTGACAAAGAGCTGGAACGGTCGTAGCAAAGTGACTCGCAAACATGGTTAAGTCTTCGACAGTGTCATCGTCGCTTTCCTGTCTTCTCTCTTCGAAACTGAACTCTATTTAACGGGTTCGATCGTCGACGGATCCCGCACAATCATCGTCGATCGGACGATGCAACCGAAGCAATCGCTTAAAGTCGTTCTCGATCTTGTTAAATCTACTGTTAAAAAGATTCTGTCGAAAAGAAAGTTAATTTTAAAGAGATTTAGTTAATTGCAACTCGCAACGGATTTTTCCAAGGGAATCCGCGGGTTAATGCGGGTCAATACTCCGGCCGGGACGATCGTGCGGGATCGAGAGACTCGAAGATCACTCGCGCTAATTCAACTCTTCGAAACGTTCAACTTTCACGGTGTTGGCACTCGTACGTCGACACTTTAGCTAGGAAAGATTCGGTGTTTCAACTCGGAGAAGATCTCCGGACGTAGGAGAGCGGCAGATCGTAGGATCTATCCGTCGCGTCGCGGTTTTTCCCGACGACCTTCCACCCGCGAATCCTCGTTGATTTTCTTTTTTTGTCCGTACCGTGAACCGGACGCCGGACGCCGGACGCACGCGTTGGCCGGGCTCCACGGCGTCTCGAAAATAGCAATACACTGTTTCTCTGTCGGCTGGCGATCCCTTCTTCGCCGCTATCTCGGCCGAGCAGCGTCTAGCCGCCACGCTTCTTTCCTCGCGCGGTTCATCTTTTTATCCCGGCGACCTCGACCGAACACGTTCGAAACATATGGAGGTTATGGGACGATCAGGACGAGAAATAGACACCGAGAGACCTGGACCAGCCGCAATCTATCGAGTGGAACGCAGCACAGGTCGCAACGGGACCGCTTCGAGCGAGAGACTGAGACAGAAACCGCGCGCGCCTGGTCGGGTCTGCGAGGAGGAGGGAGGATATCGAGGAGCAGGAGAGACAAAGAGGAAAGGAAATCACTCGGCCAGCCAGCCAGCGAACGCGACCGAGAGAGAAGGGGATGAAGATGCTCCAAGAACCAACGGAGATGCCGGAGTGAGGGTAAAATTTCTGACGGAGAGAGTAAAAGGAAACGATAAAGCGGGGATAGAGGAAAAATGGTTCTGGAGAGAGCGACCACGGAGAGAGGGGAGGGGAGCACGTATTGTCGGGCAAGTGCACGCGTGCGCGTGCCTACGACTGTACCGGGTGTGGAGTGAATCGCTGTCGTGCTTCTGATCAGCGACGTCATTGTGCCGCGATTGATACTAGCCGAGATTTCCGGCTCTGAACCCGCGCCCTTTTCCAACCAGAAAATATACACACAGTAGGTCAAAACCTAATCGGATTAATGATCTACCAAGGTAGCGTCCCCGTTACCAACCGCACCCCCATTACCGACTTACTTGTGTTTTCTTTAATGGGGTATTCTGCCGCGAACCTTTGAAAAATCGATTTCCTTTTTTTTTGTACTTTCTTAACACTTCGATTGTCACGTCACCCATACATGGCTGACAGGATTTACTATTATGATATTAGAAAGATTAAGTCACAAGTTAAGACGTCGAGGGAAATAAATTTAAATAGAATTTCTGCATTTTAACAAGGTTACGAAAATAAGCACTGAAACAAATTTTAGGTTATGTAGCTTACAATGGTCTACATATAATCAATATTTTGATTAGAGATTAGATGAGAATTTTGGACATGAAGCTTTCCATGTCCAAAGATTTTCTCAAGATTTTGAAAGGTTAGAAACATAGAAATAGTCTTTAACTTGAAACAACATAGAATAACAAATTCACCATTAAATCATCGAATATTTCTGTTTCTAATCTTTCAAAATCTTGAGGACATCTTTGGATATGGAAAACTGGCGCGGTAGTTAACGTGTTAATTAGAATCAACCCAAAATTTTGTATCTTTCTTTAGACTCGCAAAATTTGAAAAAAAGACTATGCAAAAATTGATAATCAAAGTATTGTCAAGTTTTGTCATTTTTTAAATTATCGACTCTTTTCTTTGTTCTAGTACCTGCTATAGCCAAATTCATACTGATCAAGAATCTTTCACGTGTTTCCATTTCAAACAAACAGAATGGCTGAAATCATGGACACTGCGAGCCGACCTTTTTTTAAAAGCGACTATGTTTGAGAGCATGCAGTGCCATTTATTGTAACTTTTTTACGCCCAAACAAATTTAAAATGTCACTGAAACATGTATGAATAAACCTTATAAAGTTGACTGCAAAATATGTTGTAGTTTATTTGCAAAATATTCCCCAAAAAAATTTTAAACAACACGCTTCACATTAAAATATCATAATTTTGATAATTTTTTAATACTTGATTTTCTAAATGTCTGTATAGATCTTGAAGTGAATTTATCATCGGTTAATATGATCTACTGTTACTTAGTAAAGATGTTCTTCTTTTTATTTTTGTTGTTATTGAGTGATTTATTTCATTTTATTTATATTTTAATTTTGTTAAATAAGTCTTTTTAATATATATTGCAAACTAGATACAGTCGAGGCTTATTGTATGTTATTCATTTTTGTAATATTTATTTTTGTTAGGATATTATGAATTTATAAATAATAATCCAACCGTCATAATAATTGCTTTCTATTCAAAGTACTTATCTATTAATTCATAATTGTAATTAAATTACATCGTAATTTATAATTAATACAATTTAATCGATTGAAAGATCTGAATCACGAATTTCAATATAATTGAATTGCGATTTAATTTAATCATTTTGTAATTATAATTTCTGGAAGTATTCAATTGTAAGTTTGAACAATACTGCAGCAGCTTTGCGTCAAAATTAGCCATTTTGAACGTTTCATCTGCTAGGGAAACTTCGAAAATACTGAAACTGTCTGTTCACCTCTGTCGAAACTCCAAACAAGACTAACATTGTTCCTAAAATGTTCCAGGAAATCATCTACGCATTAGAAATAGATTGGAACACTTGTTCCTCAAGGTATTTGTAGAATCGATTTTAATTCTTCGTTTCAGCTGTGTAACGACGCGTAAAGAAAACGGTTTAAGTAAATGTTAATCAGTTTGGTAAGAACTATTCAAATAACAAAACTCTCTTCTGTGGACCATTTAATTTAAATAAAAAATTAAACTTGGGTCATTCCATGCGAAGTCGGACACTTTTCGGAGTACCACGTCGGATTTTGTTCTACTTTGAATATGTTGTAGTCTTTAGTGATATATAAACGTAACTCGAAGGATTTTTAAAAATTTTAAAAATTGTTGGTTTTACATCTGTTTGAAATATAGAGCTCACTTTTTTCAATAAATAATAGCTGCTAAAGTAAGGAAGTTATAAAAATGAAATTTTAGGTACTTGTAGCAGACCCATGAGAGTATCAAATAAAAATTATTTCAATTAAAAAAAAAATTTTTTTAACTATTTATTTTGCAATTGTTTACAACAAATGTCATTTTTTTATAGCGGGGAAATATTTAAAAATCTGAAAAAAATGGGCATATAGTTGGTCACGGACCAACTTTTAAAAATACGGACACTTTAAAATTGGCCTTATAAAAATTAATTGAATGGAACGCTGCGTCGCGTCGTGACATGCTGGCTCGACCGGCCAAGTCGCGCAGTGTCTGCAACCGCCAAGCGGCTATACCTGCTATTGTTATACATAGGGTGTTGGACTGCTGGAAAATGTAACATATGTTGGTTGATTTCTAAGGAAACTGTATGTTATATTACTAATTTTTTATTTTTATACTGTTTTAAACATATTTTAAGTCGAATCACAAAAACTGATGTCTGCTTTTGAAACGAAAAAGCAGTTTAAATTAATTGTGGCAGCTTAGATACCATTATGTAATAAAAGGCTATCTTTGGCTTCATCCCCTATATTTCGTTCCACCCTAACTTATATGTTTAAATAACAGAAAGCATATTTTAATACGTTAACCGCCTCCGTATTTGGATAACGATTTTATTCGCGTGACTTATGAAACATCGTGATACTACGACCTTTGAAAATACTTGCAACTTTGACATTCGGTTTTTCGACGACCCGTGCTACGAAGATAAAGAAAAAAAAGTAAACAACCGGTTTTTCCGCGGCCGAAAACCTTTTTGTTGGCTTTTCTTAGAGAACGTGATTGCAACATGGTTCGCAAAATGATTTTCGTCGAACAATTCGTGGGAAAGGGATGAAAAGAGCAGCGTTAGAAACCTCTAGAAGGGTAGATTTGTCATCCAGACCTTGCCCGTAGGCTTGCGTGCGCATTACCGAGTAATTTGTAACTTTCAGCTCGGCCACGATCACGGTTAAAAGCTGCATCGATCGTTTACATTTAAATTAATGTTTCTTATTCCGAAAATAAATTTCTTGCAACAGTACGGTATACCCGTAATATCTTTAAAAAAAAGTTACTGCTAACGGTTAAACGTGAGTCGAAGCACAACAAGCCGTGCAAGAACGAAAGAAACGAACCGTTTGCGAGGAAAAGTTATGTAAATAAAAGAACTTTGGCAATAAGAGGATTCGTGTCGTTAATATCTCGAAGAATATCGTAGATATCTGAAATGAAAGATCTTGGTACACGAGAAATCTGTGGCATAAAGTTTCCTGCGCTGTCTCTGCAGGAACTGGGTTGGCTGGATTAAGGCTAACGTTCCCTACCACTTCGAAATGTCATTTGCGGAACATGGATTTTCTGTTTATACGCCCACCGGGGGATTCAATCAGCTTCTGTTTCCTTGTTTTTCGACGCCCATCGTTAAAACACTGTCTACTATTTGTTTGCGAGCGCAACGGTGAGATGTATAGCACGGAGAAGGAAAGATCAGCCCCGAAAAGGATGTAATGTGTCGGAGTTTTGCTAGAAAATTCAGTAAAATTATTCGATTCTAAATACATTACGAGTGTTGGGAATTCCAACACTTAGCAGCGGACCCCTTATTTAGTTAAAATTAGTTAAATTACTTGAGTAGCAATTTGGCAAGTACCTTAGGGTACAAAGCAAATTGCCGTACTATTAAGCCGTTAAGCACCGTACCTTGGGACCATACCTGCCTCTTGGGACCGCGGACATCCACCCCTGTACCACCCTTAGTGGGCGGGATTTCGAATATCTGAGGACTGGCCCACGAGGGATGGACAGGGGCTTGATTGGATACCAAATGTCTCCACCTATTTGGGAATCCTTATATATTCGCGGGGCATAGGACTCTTCAATTAGAACATTCAGAACATCAGAACATCAGAACATTAGAACATTCAGAACAGTAGAACATTCAGAACAGTTAGAATACCTCAAGAACCTTTGCAAATTAGAATCGAACTAAGGATTAAAATTGAACCAAGAACATTGAAAAACTGTTAACACATATGTACATATTGTAAATAAATTCAAGTATTGGTAAATAGTATTGAACTGTCTATTTCCTCAATAAAACGGCTCCACGAACCTTGTGGGAGCCCACATATGGTCCTTCGAGCCGGATACAGTGTTTAATGTGTACAGTATTTGTGAACAATTGTGGACGATAAATCGAACAATAAGGACATCGTGTTTGTATCGAAACACCACGGACGGACATCAAGGAATTCTACGCTTTCGACTTCCACGTAGCCGACGCTGATCCATTTGAGAGACGCTAGGCCCTGACGGACTACAGGACTTGGAACGGCGTTGCAGAATCCACAACGGACATCGAGGAAGCTGATCTGGGAAGCATTCACTGATCACCTCCTTATTTACTCATCTAATCCGTAAGTCATTCTTGCATTTCTCGAATTGTGTTAACAGTAGCAATTATGGACCCAATCTTGAAAACGCACATTTCGGACCGTACGAAGGTGAAGACTGCCTTGACTCGTTTTAAGAAATTTTTTGAATCATACGACCGCTCAACTTCGGTAACAGCACTGGAAATTCATTTGGGAAAAATTTCGCAATTGTATGAAAAATTTGATGGGATACAATCGTTAATAGAAGATATCGTAGAAGGAACCGATCTCGAAGAAAAGAACGCGAACGAACGAGAATCATTTGAAACTTCGTATTGTAATATAGTTGCCGCAGCAAAGGATTATATTGCACAAACGCGAGTACAAAATTTTGCGCACACGAACATATCAAAACAAAGTACCTCGTCTTCGGGAACTGAACCTCAATTTCGTGTCAAATTGCCTACGATAGAATTACCTACGTTCGATGGGACGTACAGTTTGTGGTTAAAATTCAAGGACACATTCGAATCATTAATCCATAACAATAAAGCTCTAGGTAATATTGAAAAATTTCATTATTTAAATTCCTCGTTAAAGGGCGACGCAGCTCGCGTAATACAATCGTTAGGAGTTTCTGAATTAAATTACGGTCTTGCATGGAAAGCGTTAAAGGACAGATTCGAGGATCGCAATACAATCAAGCACGACCACATCCGTACATTATGGGACTTGCCTGTATTAACGAAAGAATCTTACTCGGGACTTCGGCGGTTACTCGATGATATGAAAAATAGTTTACTCGCACTTAATGCATTAGGAGAACCAACAGAACATTGGGATAGTCTAATTATATATTTATTAACGACGAAGTTAGACACTGTAACGATACGTGAGTGGGAACAAAAACAATCGAACATTGCGAGTGATGTTACATTGCGGGATATGACCGTCTTTTTAGAGAAGCATTGTAAATACCTTGAAAAAACTGCAAAGGCCAAGGTAGTACCGTCGAATAAGATTGCAATAATTAATGAAACACGAAACACTCGGTTCAAGAATGTAGCAGCACACGTTGCGAACACGCGGACAGAATGTATACTTTGCAAGGCTGAGCACCCGTTGTATAATTGCACTCAGTTTTTAAAATTATCTCCGGGCGACCGTATTTCGAGGATTCAGGAATTGCGTGCATGCTTTAATTGTCTCCAACAAGGACATAGAAATATGGAATGTACGCGTGGAGGATGTAGGAAATGCTCAAAAAGGCATCACACCCTCTTACATTTAGACAGTGGTGCACATAAACCATCAGTATCGACCAATGTTTCACTCTCGCACAAACAAACACAAAATGTAAATACGGACACTGACACGAACCGTCCTAAAGAACAAATCACTTCACATACGTACATTTCACATTCAAGGGACAATTGTACAATGTTATCCACTGCGGTAGTATATATAAATGATTGTAAGGGACATAGGCAGAAATGTCGAGTATTGTTAGACTCAGGATCTCAGTCTCACTTCATCACTGACGCGCTGATTAAAAAACTAGGACTTCCGTGTAGTACAACGAACATTAGAGTTTCGGGAATAGGAAATTTAGCACGTAACTTACAATATCAATCATGCGTAAAATTAACATCAAGATTCAATGGATTCACCACATCAATTTCATGTCTATTATTACCGAAAATAACCGGAAATATTCCAAGCACACACATCGACTTATCTGATTTACCGATTCCTGCACATATCATGCTCGCGGACCCCCATTTCCATCAACCCGGGGAAATCGATATGATTATCGGAGCAGGTATGTTTTGGGACCTATTGTGCATCGGACGCCACTCTTTAGGACCGAACTACCCATCATTACAAAAGACACAGCTCGGGTGGATTATCATTGGTAATATGACTCGCGCACATCTTACAACACAAACACGAACCACGTGCCATGTTGTAACGAATCAACAGTTACATAATCAAGTAGCGGATTTCTGGAAAATTGAACAATGTATTGATGAAGGACGTCTCATCGACAAAAATCATTATTGCGAGAAACATTTCCTGTCAACTTCAACTCGGGATAACGACGGACGACACGTGGTTGCAATTCCCTTCAAGGAAGAGATCAACGGACTAGGACATTCGAGACAACAAGCAGAACGCCGACTACTTGCATTGGAACGAAGGTTGACCAAACAACCGCAGATTCAACAAGAATATATTGCCTTTATGAGGGAATATGAAGAACTTGGACACATGACGGAACTAAACGAGGAGCAACGTGAAGATGGATTCTATTTACCGCATCACGCCATCATAAAGGAGAGCAGCAGCACCACAAAATTGCGCGTAGTTTTTGATGGATCCGCAAAAACTACATCTGGACTATCCCTGAACGATGTACAGATGGCTGGGCCAGTGGTACAAGAGGATCTACTGTCGATTGTATTACGTTTCCGCAAACATCGGTATGTTCTGTCAGCAGATATCGCGAAAATGTATCGCCAAATACGAGTACGTAAGGAAGATCGTCGCTTCCAAAAAATAGTATGGCGAGAAAATAGTACCTTGCCAATTAAAACGTATGAATTAAATACTGTGACGTATGGGACAACATCCGCACCTTTCCTGGCGACCAGAACCTTGCAATGCATTGGAGAAATTTATGCAGAAGATTCTCCAGCCGCCAGTCGTATAATCTTGGAAGATTTCTACGTAGACGATCTTTTGACTGGCACGGACTGTTTAGAAGAAGCGATCAAATTAAAAAATGACGTATCATCTATCCTGGCAACATCGGGTTTTGAACTCCGGAAATGGGCAACGAACGAGTCGCGTATTTTGAATCCATCGGATGGAATACAATCCCACGTACACATTACATCCGACAAGGAGATAAAAACGCTCGGACTTCTCTGGGAATCGCAGATGGACATACTGCGATTCTTAGTGCAAAAACCATTTGAACATCGTGTCACAAAACGAACAATATTATCGGACATTTCCCAGATTTTTGACCCCCCTCGGACTGATTGGGCCAGCTACTATTCAAGCCAAAATATTATTACAAGAACTATGGCAGCTACAAGTTTCCTGGGATGAATCATTGCCCCAACATCTCCATTCACGATGGACAACATTTCGCGAGGAGCTTGGGTCAATAAATAACATTATTATTCCTCGTCATGTATTAGCTGCAGAAGCTGAGAAAATTGAATTGCATGGGTTTTGTGACGCGTCCCAGAAGGCCTACGGAGCCTGTCTTTATCTGCGGACGTTCAACAACGGACAATGGACCACTAAGTTAATATGTGCAAAATCACGCGTAGCTCCATTAAAGGTAATCACTCTCCCAAGATTAGAACTATGTGGAGCAGTACTGCTGGCACGACTTACAAGAAAGGTGCGGCAAGCGTTACGATTATCCTGCGACGAGTACTACTGGTGTGATTCTACGATCACGCTTGCATGGCTCAAATCATCACCCAGTAAATGGAAGACATTCGTGGCCAACAGGACGTCTGAAATCCAGGAACTATCTCGCGGAATTTGGATGTATGTGCAATCAAAGGAAAATCCTGCGGACATCATATCGCGTGGAGTCAACCCTTCGTCACTTGTTTCGGCAACCCTTTGGTGGAACGGACCTTCATGGCTAGAAAGGGACACAGCTACCTGGCCAGCAATAGAACCACATACAACTGAAACACCAGACGTTAACGAAGTACAGTGTGCATTCATTGCAGTAAAAAAGGAACATTTATTCGAACGATTTTCGTCATTCACGCGACTCCTACGCACGATCACATATTGTCTACGGTTTGTAAAAAACGTAAGAATCCGTATTCATAATCGCATCAAGGTAGTGAATAGGTCAGAAGATACTACCAGTGTACACACGGGTTACCTTTCAGTAAAGGAATTGAAAGATATCGAAATCCGTCTTCTTCAAATTACACAATCAGATTGTTTTCTGGAGGAACTTAAGAAATTAAGGACTGGGCAAGCGCTCCCAAAATCCAGTACACTACGATCTTTGAATCCATTTCTCGATGAAACTGGACTGATCAGGGTGGGCGGTAGATTGAAAGAAGCCCAGCTTCCCTTTAATCAACGACATCCCGTCATACTGCCATCGAAACATCATCTTACAAAACTTCTAGTCGCACATGAACATTTAAGGTTATTGCACGCAGGCTGTCAAGCGACTCTATCGTCGTTACGCAGACGATATTGGCCGCTTTCAGGTAAAATTCTTATAAAAAACACAATACGAAATTGCGTTCGATGCTTCAGGACTAAACCCGTGACTCAAGAATACCTGATGGGGAATTTACCTGCCGTACGAATTATCCCAACGCGCCCATTTTCTGTATGCGGCGTGGATTATGCAGGCCCGGTATTCATAAAGGAAAAAATACGTACGAGGGTCACATCGAAGGCCTACTTGTGTATTTTTGTCTGTTTCGTGACAAAGGCAATTCATTTAGAGCTAGCTATAGATTTAAGTACCGATGCATTCTTAAATGTCTTGCGACGATTTATTTCCCGCCGAGGACTATGCCGCAGTCTATACTCCGACAATGGAACCAATTTCATCGGCGCGCGCAACGAACTTCTCGAATTAGGCACACTTTTAAGGGACAGTAAACACAATGAACGGGTAACCAAATTTTTAAGTGATAATCAAATTGAATGGCACTTAATTCCGCCTCGCGCTCCTCATTTTGGTGGATTATGGGAAGGAGCAGTAAAGGCCACGAAATTCCATTTGAAGCGCGTTATCGGGGATACGAAACTTACGTACGAAGAATTGTATACGCTGTTAACACAAGTAGAGGCATGTTTGAACTCCCGACCCCTATATCCTTTATCCGACGATCCTACTGATTTATCTCCATTGACACCTGGACATTTCCTTATTGGTGACACGTTGAATGCGCTCCCTGGCCCTGATATTCGACACATCCCAGAAAATCGACTTAATCGCTACCAGCACATTCAAAGAATGTTACAGCATTTTTGGCAACGATGGAACACAGAATATCTCCACCAATTACAACAACGGACCAAGTGGCAGACAGCATCCCCCTCTCCGCTCGCACCAGGGACATTGGTTGTTGTGAAGGAGGATAATTGTCCACCACTGCAATGGAGAATGGGACGGATCACCGAACTTCATCCAGGGAAAGATACGATTACAAGAGTCGTATCAGTTAAGGTCTCCGATGGGATTGTAAAACGCCCAGTAACAAAAATTTGTATCTTACCTATAGACACTGATAACGACACAGTACCGGGACAAGAATAGAGTTCTATTGCATTTTAATATTTAGTACTGTACACGCACATATCTCTATAGATGTATTTAATTGTATAATCATAGAACTCTATTATTATAATTATGTAACCTTTAATTTAAGTACTGACGTATCTGGATAGATTCACGTCAATTGATTATTAGCCAACTCAAATAATTGTATTGCATATCGTACATTGTAGTTGAACATGCGAGCAGTTCAAAGTGGGCGGAATGTTGGGAATTCCAACACTTAGCAGCGGACCCCTTATTTAGTTAAAATTAGTTAAATTACTTGAGTAGCAATTTGGCAAGTACCTTAGGGTACAAAGCAAATTGCCGTACTATTAAGCCGTTAAGCACCGTACCTTGGGACCATACCTGCCTCTTGGGACCGCGGACATCCACCCCTGTACCACCCTTAGTGGGCGGGATTTCGAATATCTGAGGACTGGCCCACGAGGGATGGACAGGGGCTTGATTGGATACCAAATGTCTCCACCTATTTGGGAATCCTTATATATTCGCGGGGCATAGGACTCTTCAATTAGAACATTCAGAACATCAGAACATCAGAACATTAGAACATTCAGAACAGTAGAACATTCAGAACAGTTAGAATACCTCAAGAACCTTTGCAAATTAGAATCGAACTAAGGATTAAAATTGAACCAAGAACATTGAAAAACTGTTAACACATATGTACATATTGTAAATAAATTCAAGTATTGGTAAATAGTATTGAACTGTCTATTTCCTCAATAAAACGGCTCCACGAACCTTGTGGGAGCCCACAACGAGTATGAAAAACTTTTGCTCCTTTTTTTCCAAGTGTTCAAGTATAATTATTTTTAATCAATACCATTTTTATTGCAGTCTTTTTGTTAATAATCTCAAGTCAGCAATGTTTTCTGTTTATCTTGAAAAATTACATTTTTTGCATTTGCATTGCTCTCTTCAAAGACTGTTCGATAAAATTTGACTAAATTTTTAATTTCCGTAATTTATTTATATTGTTGGAATATAGAAATTAATTCAATTTTAGTTATTGATTATCTTATATTTATTCTCGATTGGATTTTTGAGGTGGAAGTTTGTTCATGTTCGAAGAATAACTTAAGCTGGTGTTAAAAAATAAATTAATTTAAAAAAAAAACACATTTGTATGATTTTAGGTTTTTCATGAGTGGCACTTTCTTATTTGTTATCAATATTTCTGTTATGTATGTCTATTTTAAATACTATCATTTTTCAAACAAGAATAAATTTCCACTTAAAGAGTATAATTTCTGAGATACTTAATAATAATATTTATGTGTTTATTGTAAAATATACTAACAAAATCATTGATTTTCCTCTTTTAACGCAGTGCATATGTTTTTATTTGTAATATATACACATGGAATTTATTTACTATACGGGTAAAACCCCATTAGTGCACAAAAGAAAATATAATGATATTTTTACAGTTGAGGTAGAGAACAGTGCTTCTAGATAAACAATATATAAGCCGTTTATTTTGGAAGTGGCCTAAGTCCATTTATCTTCAAATCGAGATATTTAAAAGTTTGCGTTTCAATGAATTTAAAAATATACGTATAGGATACTAATGAGTCATACTGCTTAAGTGTATCTAAGGGTGTTAAATTTATAGTTCCTATTAAAATAGTGGCAATTATTAAGTGAATAATATGCGTTTTCTTATCAAGAATGGAGTTAGGCCACTTTCAAAATTAACAACCAGATTCATTATAAAATTTGAAGGTGCCCAAGTCCATTCAACATAATTTAAGATGCTTCAAATTGAAAAAAACAATACTGAATTTATTTTACATATTTTTAAAACACTTTGGAAACATAATTTATGCCATTCAAAACATTTTTTAACTACATAACGTACACAATTACAAACATAAATTTATTACAAAAGAATTTACTACTCATCTACATTTTGTGCGTGTGAAAGGGATTTGAAGAAATCATGATATTCCGGTGGTATATATCGTAATAGGTCAGATATGTCCTTGAATTTTACTGTTGTAATTTGTTTGATATTTTTATACAGTGGTGTCAAGACAATATTTTCGAACTTTCTTGGTCTACCCCGACATGGTAATAAATTCAGGACTTTAAAATTTTCATTCTCATTCATTGATGTCTTATAGAAAATTTTATACGGTTCATTTCTGACAAAACGCATCCAACATATTTTTAACCAGTTTATTGATTCTCCATCAGAATTCTTTACCCTTTTAAAAGTTGCGTCTTCGAATAATTTTGTTGATACAAAATCTTCTTGTCTCGTTTCATTTACAATAAAATTATTACCTTTCCGACACTTTTTAATAATCTTGTAATAATCTCGGGGAACGAACAGTAAATTATTTTTTTTTAATGACATTTCTGCCACGCCAAAATCTCTATCATTTGGTAAAAACGAATGTACTGATATTAAAAATTTGTGATCTATGATTTCCACATTATTTTCCAAAGTTTGGACAATTTTTAACCACATTAAAGCTACTTTAATGTTTCTATTTTGCCCGGCGCACATGTCACTGTAAGCTATAATGTGTCTTTCACTTCTTAAATTTTTAACATGTTTTAGGATGCATGAAACAATTTCTTGAGCACCTCTGGATGCAATAGTTTCATCCCAAACGTACATGTAAACATTAAATATCTTGATTTAAGTATAAATGGAGTTAGGCCACTTTCAAACTACAAGGTTCAATTATTGAATCAACTCTGAAAACTTATGTGTCAAGAATTATCGTATTTGCTCGGAATATAAGCAACCTGAAATGCTTTACTGATGAATATCATGAAGTTGTACATGTAACCATGGTAACCGGAAAAAATTGAAAAATGGAGTTAGGCCACTTTCAAAATAAACGGCTCATATATAGATACTACTTTTAACAAAATTATTTAACGATCAAAGTCGGTTATTCGTATATGAAGTGTGTGGCCCCAAGGATGTAGCCAAAGTGAGGCAAATGGGGCACATGCCACGTTCTAGCTATGTATTTCCAATTCAGTTTTCCTTATAAATAAATAACTGATAGACAAAGAATGAGGATACCGTGTCGATTATTGTGTATTATATTAAAAATAAGTAGCAATTAAGTTTTAATCTAGGATTTTTGTCCCTTCCTAGGCAACATTCTGACTATATTCTCATGTGGTCCTATCAGAAATTTGCACATTATTGTAATCTCATACTATGACTAATATATTTAATATATTTATATAAAAAATGATAAACTTCACAAGGTACTTCATATTTTATGTTATTTCGTGTTGATATTGTATTCATCATACTAAATCATTAACTTCGTTAAATTGAATTAGTTTGAAGCTTGAGAAAGTCGATTCATTCTGCGTGTTTGTTTTAATTGATAACATGAAAGTTAAAATTGAAACTAATTATGCTAGTTTAACTGCTACACAACTTAAGAATGTAATGAAACATGCAAGGAAGCAGGTAATAAAACATTTAAACATTCATGACAAGATGTTTGAACGTCTGCTGGATTATATTAATATCCTAACATAAAATATGAAAAATCTTTTAAAGTATTTTATTTATTTAAAGGGACTGTAGAGGCAAGTTTACTGATTAAAATGAACCCATTTTGTTATATTAGATGATCGCAACGAACTAGAAGTGCCCAAGTACTTGGAAATACAAGCTGAGTCTTAGTTTTACTTTGGCTTGTTTAAATCAAAGCAAGTATTTGTCTATTTAAGCAATGTTAATTACCAAATCAAATTGATTGTCCAAGCATGCTTGATTATGTATTCTTACTTAGTTATAGTATTATTATATTTGTTAGTAAAATATCTGTTCATTTAAATAACTTAAGATGGTTTGATATTAGTAATAGTTAAAAAATTATTTAAAATTTCTAATTTCATGAGTTTAGAATAAGATGATTTTGGCCACTTTCAAAATAAACGGCTCATATGTATAGCATATACAATATAGAAATACCCATAGAAAAAAATAAAATTGATATTGAGATTTACAATTCAATTATAAATTGTAAACCTGATTTTTGAATGAGAAAATTTTCATAATGTAATGGTTTCACGAATATAAGAAAACTGGTGCAGAATTAAAAAAAAAAGAATTGTTCAAGTAAATTGTTATTCGGTTTGATAACTACAATCTAAATAGGATAAGTAGGATAAGTTAGGTTAAGGGAGAGATGGAAATGTAAGGTGGGGAGGAAGTGTAACCCTAAGGGGAAGCAGGAAATAAATCTAACTACAATCTAAATAGTAAAAATATATGTTCCATTTAGAAAATAACTATCATACCAAAATAATTTATAGCCTATAAAAAGATTAATTACAAAAATTATATTAATGGCTTTGTTTCTGAAAAAAATAGCTTGTCACATTTTGTTTGGACACGGCATAACGAAAATTGAGGAAAATATTTGCAGAACGATTCGATATCGTCCACGACGTTATTCCTGTCGAGAAAATTGATTTTGAAATTGAACATTGATCTGTTCCAAAGACAGTGTACAAAATAGGTTAGAAGGAGATCATTTCGTGGCAAGATTTTCATTTTCTCTTCCAGCGACAATTAATTTGATCGTGGCTGATAATTGTGGGGAATACTACATGTATACATATACAGAAGATCAGCTGGAAAACTTTTACTGGCCCATATTCGAAAGCCCATGTTTTCATGGAAACTTCTACAATCGTAGAATGCGCGAGTGTGTGCGTGCCTGTACGTATCACTGGTTGCAAATGGTGTCTATGACCCATATAACACGCCCAACCGTAACTGGGTCGTGCACCTCTGTATCCCCTGGAATAATACAGGGTGTCCTCTTTTCGAGAAGTGCCGCGCGTCGCCATCGAGAATTTACAGAAAAGAAAGCAGCAGTACGTAGGGATTGGAAACGCATTTACGTTTCCAAAAAATGATCAAAATCGTTTCTGACTGTATCATTTTTAAGGTTAAATAAATAAAAAGAAACCATCACGTT